AATAGAGGAGGAATCTGCCCGTTTTTCCTCTAGTTCGCCTTCTTCTCCGCCTTCACTAAAATCTCCGCCAAATACCGAAGACCCAGAACAACGTCCGTCCACTACTAGATTATTTTCCTGTTTTGCCCCTTCGTCTCCCGGCAACGGACAACAACTTCCGGGGTCAGATTGCGCTGCTCCGTCTCTGTCGCAGATGTAGAAAATCACCGGGAGCGCTTCTCCCTTCATTAAGGAGCTTCTTTCAGACATGAGGAGAGCTGTTTTGGTGGTAGCAGTCTCTCCTCCGTGCTGGTCTGTTTGCTGCTGGGTGTTTTTGGTTTCTTTAAACTTGGTAACTTGAACTTAACGTTGGTAAAGCTACTGTTAGCATCTTCGCTAACAGCTTCTTGCGTTTGGATAAGCTGTTACGTTTTGGTTTAGTGTTCATCTTTTTTGTGGTGTAGATCTCCCTTTTATTACATTTAGAGTGTTGTGGGTTTTCGGTTAGTGTAAAATATCACCTGAGTTTGGTTTAACCCGTAAGACCACTCGCCTCACGCACATAAGTGACCAAAACAAAGCAGCATGGAGACACTCCATCTTCTACCACCTCTCAGGCAGCAGCCTGCACTCCCAAGTTCTACACGTCACCAGAACATAACCAACTGCAACACAATAAAAGCAGTGTTATACAAAATGGAAGGCCTGTAGTGTTTATTCTCTTACAGTAAGAATTTATCAATTTTTTTTTGAGGAATTTATTTGAGATTTTCTGGTTTTTGTTAATTGTGCAATAGAAAAATAATCATTAGATTAATTTTCTAAATAGTCATTAGAATAGTCGACTATTCGATAAAATAATCGTCAGAATAATCGTTTTAAAAATAATCGTTTAACCCCAGCCCTATAAAATAGTTTTTTAAACCTTTTTTTAAATTAGTTGTTTTTTCCCCCATAATGAAAGTGTGTTTCACTCGTTAAATCAATACATTTGCAGTAGTCTCTTGTCTATAGGGCCTTACATGGACAAGCACCATCTTTCTTAGTCCCTACACCCCCAGCAGGTCCCTGAGGTCCAGTGATCAAAGCCTACTGGTTTTGCAGCACCAGGCTAAAGACCAAAGGTGACAGATCATCTGTTGCTGTGGCCCCCAGACTCTGGAACTCTCTCCCCCTGAGCCTGAGATCAGTGGACTCAGTGGTCTCCTTTAAAAAGCAGCTGAAGTCTCACTTGTTCAATCTGGCTTTTGTATGACCTTCTTCACCACTCTCTCTTTATTCTGCTCTCTCCACCTATTCCACCTCCCTCAGGATCCACTGATTTCCCTCTTTTCTGTTCACTTTCTCCCTTTCTTAACATTTTTTAGTCACAATTGTCTATTTTTGCTCATTTAAAATATATTTTTAAACATTTTCCAAATGTCATGGTTCGTGCTGAGTCTAACTCTGTGTGTTGTGCTGAATCTTCTCTGTGTGCAGGTGGGTGTGTGATACTCAACTTTGGGTAGAACTCGTGCCAGTACCATGCCTGTATCTGAAATTCGTTTTATCTCTTGTGTACCTCGCCTTCCTGAACTTATCTGTCCTGTTCTCCTCTGACCTCCTCAGGAACTTCTCCTCCACCAACCAAACCTCCATCATCTGGAAAATAGACTCACCGGATTCCAACCCTGCCGGCCAGCCCTGTCGTTCACCCCTGACCGCCTGCTCTCCCACGCCCACCTGCCAACCTGGACAACCCGAACTCTGGTGCTCAGCTCCCAGCCACACCTGACTCTCACTCGACCAGCTCAGCCAGCCGTGACTTGCCTCCCCCTCTCTAAGCCTCACCAACAACCAGGAAACCGTAAGCTACAAACTCATATTCCTTACACGGTCAATCTGCAAATACTCACTCCTGTCTCCGCTCTACAACTCCACCGGAACCACCCGAACTCAGACCATCATCTCCACCTCGCATCGCACATAAAAATAAACCTTTTTTTACTTTTTGTCTCAGTGTGTGATTCTGCATGTCGTGGGTCAAAAAGCTACAGCCCAACATGACACTAAATGCTTTTTTATATTTTTACATCTTTTGTTTTTGTGAAGCGCCTCGTGATTCTTTTCTTGAGGCATTATAGAAATGATTTCTCCTTCAACATTTTTGAAAATTGGCACCTTAAGTACTGGTATCGATTTATAGGTACCGCAAATTGGTACCATATCCATTTAAATGTCAAAGGTACCCTTCCCTACTCACGCCATCCACTAATGCATCACAAAGCTTTCAATGTTGTGAGATCATTTTTCCATGTTATATCAAAGCTACTCTCAATGATAAAAATAAGATGCTATTTTTTTTGTGCTGATACAAAATTAATTTTAAAGTGATGTTTCAAACTCCTGCTAATCAGAATATCAGATGGTTGAGACTTATAATTCATCCTACAACAAAATTAAATAAAACCGTGGGTAAAAAATAGTGTACAGTGAATTCCTGAACGCTGTGGCTTGTTGTCAACACAAGATGGTGCTGCTTCATCGACTCTCTGCAGACGTGCTGTTGACTGAATGAGCGAGGTTAGAGTTCCCAGGAAATCCAGAGGGAAGGATTCTCCACCAGAAGTCCCGTTATGTAATGTGAGTGACAAAAGCTGTAGAACAACAGGACCATCGTATTTGTCCACTATGATGTGTTAACCAGCCATCGGTGAGTTAGAGTCAGAATGTGAGACCCTGAAGTCTCGTCAGACGGTTCTGATTGTTGGGTTTTGAGCAGGTTTGGGTTTAGATCTGCTATTTGGAGGGAATATGGGTTTCATTGTCCCACTTCTGTGTTTCTGTGATTGTGCTGAAATGTAGAAACACACACACACACACACACACACACACACACACACACACACACACACACACACACACACACACACACACACACACACACACACACACACACACACACACACACACACACAAACCCTTGACTGCAACAGTTGGAACAGATGGTGGGTAATTATAAAGTGTGTGGTAACATTAAGGTGTGTAATTGGTGCTCCGGTGAGTGGAAATGGGTGTGTGCGTTAAAACGATTCTTAAGCAAAAGGCCGAGCAGATGTGTGGAGCACCTTTAATTTAAATGGTAAATGGCTTGTATTTGATAAAGCGCCTTCTAGAGTCCTGGAACCCCCCAAGGTGCTTTACAACACAATCAGTCATTCACCCATTCACACACACGTTCACACCCAGGTGGTCATGAGTTACGTTGGACCCACAGCTGCCCTGAAGCACACTGACAGAGCTGAATCTTCCATACACAGTCGCCACCAGTCCCTCCGAACTCCACCAGCAGGCAAGGTGGGTTCAGTGTCTAGCTCAAGGACACAACAACAGCGACAGACTAAGCAGGACTCGAACCTGCAACCTTCTGATTCAGGGTTAGGGTTAGGACTTAACTCTTGTGCCACCGTTGCACTTTAGGAATGTTATGACAGGACAGTGCTGTATGAGATGCTCCAGAGCCACTTAGGAGGATTTTACTTTTGTCTTATCAACTAAAAATACAATCCTTTAAAAATATGTACTATAATTTAGGCTGCGCAGTGGTACAGTGGTTAGAGCTGTTGGCTTGCAGCGAGAAGGTCCTGGGTTCACTTCCCAGCCTGGGATCTTTCTGCATGGAGTTTGCATGTTCTCCCTGTGCATGCGTGGGTTCTCTCCGGGTACTCCGGCTTCCTCCCACAGTCCAAAAACATGACTATTAGGTTGATTGGTCTGTCTAAATTGTCCTTAGGAATGAGTGTGTGTGCATGATTGTTTGTCCTGTGTGTCTCTGCCCCCCCCCCCCCCCCCCCCCCCAACCCCGCGACCCTACGTGGACAAGCGGGCTCAGAAAATGGATGGATGATACTATAATTTAAAGGTGCACTATGTAAGAATGAAGTAACATTGATATCCTGTGGTCAAACCTGGTTACTGCAGCCCATTTTCAAAACCCATAAGTCACTTTCTCACTATAGCTCCGTGAGTTTTATGGCTGACTGTCATAAATCAGCACAAGAATATTCTAGATAAGGAGCAAAGACGAGTCATAAACCTTAAGTTGCTAAGTAGATTTAGATCTACTTCAATGTTTTACCCTCCTTGCACTGTTTTAATTGCTTTTATTATCTATTTATTCATTGTGTTTAACATTTCTTATGTACTGTGTACATCGCCTTGGGCTCCCTGACAGGGGAAGGCACTTTATAAATAAAGCATTGAATTGAATTGAGATTAATACATGGTCATATGTTTTAGGTGTTTTAATATTTCTCCGCCATTACAGGAAGTATTTACCGTCTCGCTATTAGCTTGCTGTTATCATTCTGAACGACTCATTAAAGGAAGTAAAACACCACAATTGACTCATTAACTTAACACACACATTTCACTGTAATATTGAGTTGCTGGTAATCATAAAAGTAGTTTGAGATATTTTTAGAGCGGACTATTTGCCTCTAATTCACCGTTAACATTGTTAGCTCAACGATAGCCTGTAGTCTGCTTCATGTTATATAGGAATAAAACAAAAATGCCGTGGTTTCATAAGGGGAACAACAAATAACTTCTGGGTCGCTCTAGTTACTGGCTTTGGTTCTTAAATCAACTCTGGAGCTTTTTGCCTGTCGGTGTCTATTCACAAACGCTGGAGCTGCAGTGTTAGCTTGCGCAGTCTCAGCAGCCTCGCGGACTCCGATTGTAAACAAATACTACATGCCTCTTCAGATTTTTTGGAAAGGAGAGAATCTGACAACCTCCCAACCAGCTGAGAATAAACCTGCTTCAGTACAACCTTCCTTCCAACATGACTGAGACATTAGACTGTTTGGATTATTTTCCTGTACAATTCTTACATCATGAACCTTTGATAAATAATAATAAATTAACCCTTATTGAGTTTTCATATTGAAGCACCAAGCAATGTCCCCCCCCCCCAACACACACACACACACACACACACCTAGTGTGTGAGTGTGGCATGGCTTTGGATCTTCCCTCCCTCCCTTCGACAGATGGATGGGGTTAATATCATCATTAAGCACCTCAGCCAACGGTTCCTGTTTACGGCTCGGTTGCTAGGCAGTGACATCAACTGATCCCTCCCTCCTCCTTTTCTAATCCCTTCCCTCTGCCTCACACACACACAAACACACACACTAGTCTCTGTCGGCTCCGTCTCTCTCTGATAGGCGGCGCAGATGTGGGTAGAGTGTGGGGGTATATGAAGAGCAGAGAGCAGGAGGGTGAATGTGTGTGTGTGTGTGTGTGAGGCTGGCAGACGGCATGGTCGGGGTCTCCATGTAGACCTGTGTGGAAACATCCAAACATCACCTGGACCTGTCTACCTATCAGCATTCACCAAGGATAGCCACCTTCTTCAGAGAAGCAACAGGAGAGAGAGCACCGGGTGGGTCTGTGTATATTTATTTATTTTTCCAGGTTTTTTTGTTTTTTCTTTGGTTTTGGGAGTAGGCTCCGGGCTGGACCGCATGCATGACACAACGCAAAGGCGAGAAACCCACCATCAGCATCCAGGAGCACATGGCCATTGATGTGTGCCCTGGCCCCATCCAGCCCATCAAGCAGATTTCGGACTACTTCCCCCGTTACCCGCGGGGCCTCCCCCCTGCTGTGCCCCAGCCAGTGGGCCACATTGGGCCCCTGCGCTCTGCCCTCTCCACCTCCTCAGGCGCTGCCTCTGCGACCGCCGCTGCTGAAAGTGACCGCTCCAATGAAGACAACCCTGAGCGGGCGTGTGCCGGAGCCTCTGCCTCCCCGCAGGCTGTCAGGAAGGACGAGGAGCCGGATGTGGAGGGATACGACTCGGATGACTCCAGTGAGTGGTGATTTCTATCTGTCACTGTTTTCCATGTGTGTCTGTCCCCTCTCACTTCCCTCATCACTCCATCCCCATTTTTGCCACCGGTTGCCAGGCGTCCTTTCAGCCTGGTGTCTCTCCGTCACCTTATCCTTCCTCTCCCGTCAGCTGTCTCTTTGTGTCTTCAGCTACCAGAAACGTGCGTGTTTTGAGTCTGTGTTGCATCGAACTCTGCTTCTCCGCCGACTGGCAGCCAACTGTTGCTGTTGCAATGAATCCACCCCCCCTCCTGTTGCATCTTCTCTGCTTCAGTTGGAAGAATGATGCATGTGATTTTTCTTGGAACAAAGCATTGCACGAGGCTGTCGGCGTTGTATGAGTGTGATTGTTAAATGAACGGTGTCTACGGGGCGCTGGGTCTGTGCTGTCAAACAACCTGACCGAGCTGAATGAGTGAAATTAGTCGCAGCTTTGCGCTGAGTGATCTCGAAGCTCCTCCACGTACTGCACTTGGACTGTGGAGTCATTTTGGTTTGTGTGAATTTTCAAACCACATTCAAAGGATGGAATGTGTGCCCACACCTGGAAGAAAACATTTTTCTTAAAATACCAGATCTGAGTGGCCAGATAATTAGGGCAATCGATAATAAACACCTCAGACAGTCCACGTCACAGACAATATTTTGCTGGCATGTTCTGGAAAACTAAATGATGGAACTGGTCAGAACCAGATTTTGTTACTTAAACCAGAAACGGTGAGTGTATCTGCTCCAGCAGTGATTTTATTCTAAAAAAAAACCAAACTGAACCGAAACCACCTGCAGCCCGTTCTGGAGGTTTGTCACGGCTGTGCTTTGCACAAGAGGCTTGTGATTGCAGGTTAATGTGTGACAGTGGTGCAGCTTCTACAGGAGTTAATCCATCCAGAGTGGCATGTTGGGAAGGGGAAAGGGGGGCACCACCCGCTTTAATCCAGATCTGGCCCGGAGGGTTGGAGGACAGCGGGGGGGATGGTACAGTAGGCTGACAGATGTTGCTGTGTGACCTCCACAAGGAAACCAGGACTTGACTCTGTGAAGAAAAACTTTTGAAACTGATAGATTTCATTCTTTTATTGAGACTCTGATGCATTTTTGTTCTTGTTGTTTTCTTATTGGTATTGCTTTTGCCTTTTTCCTCATAAAAATGTCTCGGATCAGCAAGTTTCCTTATCAAAGATAACCTGAGTGAATACAAAATTCAGTTGCACTCAAACCTGATTACCAACTTATGAAATGGCTTCCGTAGAACCTGAAGTAGGCGAAAAGGTCTCTAAAAGCCACATATGACTTTTTCAACATTCATCAATAGAAGAACCAAAACATCTAAATCACAGCAGAGCTAACATGTTTAAAGAGCAAGTCACCCCAAATTAACTTTTTTTTTGCTGATAAACATAAATGCGTGTCTAATCGTGCTGTACACACATGTAGTGAATAATTTGGCACTTTAGTGCATTTTAGTTAAAATTTAAACATTCTGCCTAAAACTGTCAGTGTTGCGCCCTCTTCAGGTAAAAACTCGGCACTGCATTTGAATTTAAATCTGATATTGCTATTGGCTTAGAAGTACCCTATGACGTTAGCTGGTACATTAGCATGTCACAGTGACGTTGTGAGTCTGAGTGTGTTTGTATTTGTTAGCGGATCCACCCTCTCAGTCTGCTAGGCAAAAGTATTTGTTGCATTTTTCAAACTAGAAGTGGGAGTGGAGTAAGACTCTGGTAGGGGTGACTTGATCTTTAAGGTCAGATGTCATGATTCATCATTACCTGCATTTCCACGTGAGTTCCAGGACACTTCTGGGAGGGGAAAAGGTGATGGTGAAAATATGCAGACTCGGTCCCCCTAGATGTTGTGTCTCCATACAAAGTTTACCCCTTTAAGATATTTGCTAAGACGTCAGCAAATAGCGGCCATTTTGGCAGTGAGCCAAATGCATCCACGGCCATAGTCATGAATGACGTCAAAGACGTTTTATTTGATCAAATTACGTCAAAAGCAGGTTCACGAAACCATTTTTATATATTATTTTTAGAAATTATCAGTTGCTCTTGAGTTTTTCATGCAGGCTGAACATGAAAATAGTCTCCTACACCTATCTCCTGCATTAGCTTCTCATAGAAAATAGACGTTCAAACTCTTGGATTAGCAAAGCCTGACAGATCTACGTCACCCTGTCACTGAACATTCATAGACTCACGATGAGGAAGGCTGTTGTTGGTTTAGCGTCCAGGAAAAAAAGCAGAGAACATCTCGGCTAGTAGACGCTAACTGTTAGCATTAGCAACTCCACCACACAGCAGAACTTCTTCAGGCTTGTGTTATTTGTGAAGATAAAACATCAATATGTGGATGAGGAGTTTACAGTTAACCCAGTATTAACGGTTTGATAGCTTCAATAACCGGTTAATCACATTTTGGAAAACTTTCATTCCGAAAATGTGGTAAATTTACCCTGACTTGAAATGGAACCATGATTTCTGCTCTGTTTGACCTTTAACCTGAAAGAGGCTGTTGATGCTGGAGAACTATCCTGTGGCTGAATTTAAAAAAATCCACCAAGAATCTGAATTTATCCACAGTGATATGAGAGACTCAGTATTATTTATCACAAACCAACAATTAGAAGGTTTAGGGTAGGGCTGCAACTAACGACTATTTTAATCGTCGACTAGTCACCGACTATTGACGATCAGTCGACTAATCGGATAATTATTACATTTTTCTTAAATTTTGCGCGAGATTGCTTTAATTATGTGAAAAATGATCATAAACACAGGAAAGATGGGTACTTCAATGAAAAATGCATATTTTATTGAACTTTGCTGCTGATAGGCCGATTCATACTATCAGTAATTAAAAATGCCCTGTCTAACACCAATTAGGCTCAGTGCCCAGTCAGTACAGACATAAATGCATAAATAAAATTAAAATATTTTTGTCAGGCACAGTCGGGCATAACATTAAATCAACTTATTTAAAAGCAAAGATACGTTTAAAAAATGTACATCCAAAACTAAACAGATAGCTTTCATGTTATTTATATCTTACCGAGGTGAGTCAGACTGTTTCATTCAACTGTCCAACGTGCTTTCTCTTCAAGTGTTCATGCACCACCGACGTGCTGCCGTGATACGCGAGGACTACTTTACAAATAATGCAGGTCATCTTTTTATTCGCCGAATCCCGGCTAGAATGCTCCCAAACCTTTGATGTTTTGGTACGCGTAGCCGCTGTGTCGGACGCCGCAATTTCTGTTAGTTGGCGCTCAGCAGAGAAGCTATTGCGCACGTGCGACTCTCGGCAGAGATTGTAATGAAGTGAGATGCCTCACTCGGTCGGTAAAAACACGTCTAGCGACAACGCCGACAATTGTCGACTCTTTCTATTGTCGATATTTGTCGACAAATCGTTGCAGCCCTAGTTTAGGGGGTAATGGCTTTATGACTCCACTAAAACCTCTACACATTTCACTTGCTGCCATTTAAAATGTTTTGCATTTATGAGCATCCATCCTTGATTTTTACCATGCTGCTTGTCTGCCAAAACACATCAAGAAAAATAAGACGTCTAACATCGTAATTTGCATTAAAACCATGGAAACTGCCTGTTGTTTGCTGAAAAGCCTCGTGAAAGTTAAGTTAGAAAAGCACAGTCCATTTAACACTAAATGCTATTGCAAGAGGAGGCTGACACAACACTTACTGACTGGATGGAGTGAAGAGGTGTTTTTAGAAGCAGAGCGAATATGCATCAGTGTTTTTTTTCTGATCCTGTAAAAGCAGCTGAAATTTTTTATGTGGAAGGCTGAGAGCTGTCACCATAAATATTACATCTGTATTTTTATTCTAAAGAAAATACTGTCATTTTTAGACTGTAAGCAATGAGATGATGGATTGAGATGCAAAAAAAAAAGTTATAATTTTGATAAACTGCTCAAGGCTCTGTTGTGTTCCACTTTCACTGGTTGTCGTGAATCTAAAATGTAAGCGTATTTATGCGCATCACTTAAAATTGACCACAGCCTGTTGTCATACTGAGTAAATCACAACTTATTGAGTTGATGTATTATTTTTTTAGAAATTAAAAAATCATTTCCTACTGAGTCAACATTTAATTAAAAATGATATTTATTGCCTTTTATTCACTCTAAGTTCTGATTTGCCTCTCGTTTTCCAATCACCCAAGCTCCCAGCCCTCCTGCATTTAAAACCTCTCAGTTCTGTGTGTTTTGTCGGTTCAATGTTTCATTGTCCTGCATGTTCTGCATTAAATCCTCGTTAAATGTTCCGGTCTGTCTGTCTGTCTGTCTGTCTGTCTGTCTGTCTGATTCTTCCCCTGCATTTGGATCCTCACCTCCGGCTCAACTCACCTGCGCACGTGACTTGTTTCGTCGCGTCAACGTCAGGTTTCACCTGTATGCGGATGACTGTCAAATCTATTTACCATTATCATGCAATAACTCAAGTTATTTCAAACCACTCTTGGACTGCTTGGAGGAGGTCAAGCTATGGATAGCTCAGAATTTATTGTTCTTCAACCAGAATAAAACTGAGACTAACCTGTTCGGCCCGAAAAACAAACATGGATGTGCCCAAGGGATTGACTCTCCTTCATTAGCACCTTTTGAGAAGGCTGTGGTCCAGGGGTGGCGTTAGGCCCGGCTACTTGGGCTGAAGCCCCGGATGTTTCATGAAAAGCCCCGGATCTAAGGCCCTGTCCACACGTAGCCGGGGATCTGCCAAAACGTAGATATTTTCCTACGTTTTGGCCTGTCATCCACACGAAAACAGAGTTTTTTTCACACGAAAACGGATCTTTTTAAAAACTCAGGCCAAAGTGAAGATGTGCGTTTTCTCCGTTTTGGGTGTCTGCGTGTGGACAGACAAAACCGGAGTTTTAAGGTCCGCAACGTCACTTTCCGCGACAAAAAATGCTGACATCACGTGTGCGACCTGTGTTTACACTAGCTGACAG